AGACCCCCATCACCTGAGCCAACGTATGACATACCCCCTCTGTTCTAGACCCCCATCACCTGAGCCAACGTATGACATACCCCCTCTGTTCTAGACCCCCATCACCTGAGCCAACGTATGACATACCCCCTCTGTTCTAGACCCCCATCACCTAAGCCAACGTATGACATACCCCCTCTGTTCTAGACCCCCATCACCTGAGCCAACGTATGACATACCCCCTCTGTTCTAGACCCCCATCACCTGAGCCAACGTATGACATACCCCCTCTGTTCTAGACCCCCATCACCTAAGCCAACGTATGACATACCCCCTCTGTTCTAGACCCCCATCACCTGAGCCAACGTATGACATACCCCCTCTGTTCTAGACCCCCATCACCTAAGCCAACGTATGACATACCCCCTCTGTTCTAGACCCCCATCACCTGAGCCAACGTATGACATACCCCCTCTGTTCTAGACCCCCATCACCTGAGCCAACGTATGACATACCCCCTCTGTTCTAGACCCCCATCACCTGAGCCAACGTATGACATACCCCCTCTGTTCTAGACCCCCATCACCTGAGCCAACGTATGACATACCCCCTCTGTTCTAGACCCCCATCACCTGAGCCAACGTATGACATACCCCCTCTGTTCTAGACCCCCATCACCTAAGCCAACGTATGACATACCCCCTCTGTTCTAGACCCCTATCACCTGAGCCAACGTATGACATACCCCCTCTGTTCTAGACCCCCATCACCTGAGCCAACGTATGACATACCCCCTCTGTTCTAGACCCCCATCACCTGAGCCAACGTATGACATACCCCCTCTGTTCTAGACCCCCATCACCTGAGCCAACGTATGACATACCCCCTCTGTTCTAGACCCCCATCACCTAAGCCAACGTATGACATACCCCCTCTGTTCTAGACCCCCATCACCTGAGCCAACGTATGACATACCCCCTCTGTTCTAGACCCCCATCACCTGAGCCAACGTATCACATACCCCCTCTGTTCTAGACCCCCATCACCTGAGCCAACGTATGACATACCCCCTCTGTTCTAGACACCCATCACCTGAGCCAACGTATGACATACCCCCTCTGTTCTAGACCCCCATCACCTGAGCCAACGTATGACATACCCCCTCTGTTCTAGACCCCCATCACCTGAGCCAACGTATGACATACCCCCTCTGTTCTAGACCCCCATCACCTGAGCCAACGTATGACATACCCCCTCTGTTCTAGACCCCCATCACCTGAGCCAACGTATGACATACCCCCTCTGTTCTAGACCCCCATCACCTGAGCCAACGTATGACATACCCCCTCTGTTCTAGACCCCCATCACCTAAGCCAACGTATGACATACCCCCTCTGTTCTAGACCCCCATCACCTGAGCCAACGTATGACATACCCCCTCTGTTCTAGACCCCCATCACCTGAGCCAACGTATGACATACCCCCTCTGTTCTAGACACCCATCACCTGAGCCAACGTATGACATACCCCCTCTGTTCTAGACCCCCATCACCTGAGCCAACGTATGACATACCCCCTCTGTTCTAGACCCCCATCACCTGAGCCAACGTATGACATACCCCCTCTGTTCTAGACCCCCATCACCTAAGCCAACGTATGACATACCCCCTCTGTTCTAGACCCCTATCACCTGAGCCAACGTATGACATACCCCCTCTGTTCTAGACCCCCATCACCTGAGCCAACGTATCACATACCCCCTCTGTTCTAGACCCCCATCACCTGAGCCAACGTATGACATACCCCCTCTGTTCTAGACCCCCATCACCTGAGCCAACGTATGACATACCCCCTCTGTTCTAGACCCCCATCACCTAAGCCAACGTATGACATACCCCCTCTGTTCTAGACCCTCATCACCTGAGCCAACGTATGACATACCCCCTCTGTTCTAGACCCCCATCACCTGAGCCAACGTATCACATACCCCCTCTGTTCTAGACCCCCATCACCTGAGCCAACGTATGACATACCCCCTCTGTTCTAGACCCCCATCACCTGAGCCAACGTATCACATACCCCCTCTGTTCTAGACCCCCATCACCTGAGCCAACGTATGACATACCCCCTCTGTTCTAGACCCCCATCACCTAAGCCAACGTATGACATACCCCCTCTGTTCTAGACCCCCATCACCTGAGCCAACGTATGACATACCCCCTCTGTTCTAGACCCCCATCACCTGAGCCAACGTATGACATACCCCAGGGTTCGTACGCAGTCTGGAAAGTCTGGAAAAAGTCTTGAATTTAGAAAAGTGAATTTAAGACTTAAAAAAGTCTGGAAAATCGCTAGTTTTTGGGCAGGATTTTTTAAAAGTCTGGAAAAAGTCTGGAATCTAGTTTTAGAAACAAAACTTCGTAGTCCATATTTTCCAACTTAAAAAATTGCTATTTTTAAGTGAATTTACTCCAATTTTTTCCCCGCGCTATTGCGCGGGTTTACACTGTGTTGTGACGTTTTTCGCTGGTTCGCAGAAAAAATGCTCAGTTACTACGTCATTGGGACAAGAGGGGAAGGGAGGGAAGAGATATTTTTGTGGCACGACTGACCGTGTGAATGTGTTACAAGTACTTAAGATTGTCGTTTAATAAAAGAATGATCGCCCTCAGAATTGTTAGGCTCTCGATTTTACCCGCTATTTTTTCCTCGTTTGAGTTTGCATGCAGGCAGTCATAACAAAAAGTTATGGGGGAGATGTGTGAGTGGTAGTTTAGATATAATGTATCAGTCTGTAAGGCGTCATCCATTTATGACTTACAACAATTTTTCGGATTTTAGACCCCCCCCCCCCCTTCCCCACTCCCCCGCCCTCTGTCAACACGCGCTCACTTACTTTGGATTAATATTTACATTTATAAGATTAATAAGTCGCAAGGCCTCATTGGGTTCATATCTGTATTTCTGTTTGCTTCAGCTTAACAAAGAGGTACTATTTTTATTTAGGAGTCGTCCATAAATGACGTCACACTCCGGAAAGTCGGGAGGAGGGTTTTATAAAGTGTGACGACACGCTCTCGCAATAATGTTAGGGCAGATATAAATACCGTGTTTTATTTACACGCTGTGATGGTTTTTAAAACACCAGCACAGTCGTCTTAATTTTACTTTCTACTCGCAAGATACAAGTTTTATGTTTGTTTTAGAATGTAATCACAAAATCTTCCGACCCCTTCCCCCCTCCATGTGTACGTCATAAATGGATGGTCCCTTTAATTTTAATTCACCTTCCATTAAACTGTTTTTGAAATCTTTGCAAATGCTGACGATTAAAGTTAGACTACCCCCCTCCTTGTAACATCGGTCCCTTGTGTGAACTCACCGTGACCCCAAGTGCGTAGTTGGTACTGCTTGGTACATTGGGTGGGGGAGGGGGTATAAGTCACAGCACAGTTCATGTTATGACGTATTAAACAGGCATACTGTAGTCTAGACTACTATGACCTCACAGTGACCCCTTCGCCGTGTCGAGTCTGTTGGGGGGAAGGTGGGGGGGGGGGGAAAGAAGGATACCGGCAACTTTTTTTTTTTATTGCAGACCCGTTTCTCAGCTATTACTATAAGCACAAACAGTGAATGATTTATTTTTTTTTTTTTTTTTTTTTTTTTTTGCTCCACATTTTTTTTTACAAGTAGCCTATATTTATTTAGGCTACTTAACAAGAGCAGACCTAAATTAATACAGTACATTATTATTCTTTAAAGTAATTAACTCTCACTATTATGCAATACTATTTTAATGATAGCTTAATTGAAAACATAAGCAATTAGATCAGGAACAGATTATATAAGTCTAATGTTGGAAACAAAATAGTTGCATCATTTTAATCAATTATTTTAATTCTTAAAATTTTAGGTAGGGTGGTGTAGGCAAACTTAGAAAAAATGTTTTTTTGTCAATTTGGCTAGAGAAAGTTCACTATGAATATAGCTCAATCGCCTAAAATAAATGTCAATTTAGTATAAGTAATTATAATGACAGTACAAATAGTGCATCATTTTAAAAAAATTATTCGCTAACACATTATCTGTCTAAAGTCTGGAATTTTTCCAAAAAAGTCTGGAAAATGTCTGGAAAAAGTCTGGAATTTCATTTTCAAAAAGCAGTACGAACCCTGATACCCCCTCTGTTCTAGACACCATCACCTAAGCCAACGTATGACATATCCCTCTGTTCTAGACCCCCATCACCTGATCCATTGTATGACACACCCCCTCTGTTCTAGACCCCCATCACCTGAGCCAGTGTATGACATACCCCCTCTGTTCTAGACACCATCACCTAAGCCAACGTATGACATACCCCCTCTGTTCTAGACACCATCACCTGAGCCAACGTATGACATACCCCTCTGTTCTAGACCCCATCACCTGAGCCAGTGTATGACATACCCCCTCTGTTCTAGACCCCCATCACCTGAGCCAACGTATGACATACCCCCTCTATTCTAGACCCCCATCACCTGAGCCAACGTATGACATACCCCTCTGTTCTAGACCCCCATCACCTAAGCCAACGTATGACATACCCCCTCTGTTCTAGACCCCCATCACCTGAGCCAACGTATGACATACCCCCTCTGTTCTAGACACCATCACCTAAGCCAACGTATGACATACCCCCTCTATTCTAGACACCATCACATAAGCCAACGTATGACATACCCCCTCTGTTCTAGACCCCCATCACCTGAGCCAACGTATGACATACCCCCTCTGTTCTAGACCCCCATCACCTGAGCCAACGTATGACATACCCCCTCTATTCTAGACCCCCATCACCTGAGCCAACGTATGACATACCCCCTCTATTCTAGACACCCATCACCTGAGCCAACGTATGACATACCCCCTCTGTTCTAGACCCCCATCACCTAAGCCAACGTATGACATACCCCTTCTGTTCTAGACCCCCATCACCTGAGCCAACGTATGACGTACCCCCCTTGTTGTGTCCCCAGGAAGTGATAACGTGCAGGTGGCGGGAAGTCCCCCAGCCATGCGAGACCTGCAAGAGTTCCTGGCCGAGGCCGAGCTGGGTGAGTACTACTCGTCCCTGCTCACGCGCCTCAAGGTGTCCACGGTGGAGCACCTCAAGTATGTCAAGGAGGAGGACCTGGAGGATATCGGCATGACGCGGCCAGAGATGCGGCGGCTCAAGAAGTTCTACAGGAAGGAGTGTCCTCAAGGGGCCATTAACAAACTCAGAAAGGTAGGTCGTAGTTCTAACATTGTCTGTAGGAGCTGGTGATGTTCCTTTATTGTCATATTTCATGCGTCTTTTATGTTTCTCTACTTCTATGGTTATTATTTTCTTATCTTTATAGTTTAACCTCTATTTTCAATAGTCTATTGTTGAGAAAAGTTTTTTTTTTTCTGTTGGACTAGAGCAGAGAAATAGGTTTCTTACGTTGGTAACTGTCTAATAACTAATATGATGTTGATGGTTAAACAGTATAACGAAGTGTTTGCAGAGGGTGTAAGATTGTACTCTCAGTGTTGTTAGTAGTACTGATCTTTCATTCCCTCACGCCTTCAACAAGTGTGTGATTAGTGTAGGCTTATGGAAAACAACCCACTGTTATTAGCCTCGATGTGTATTGAATTGCATGATTTTCTAAGACTTGGTCGGAAGGCTTTAAGTCTGTAAACTTTAAGACTGACGATTGCCTGTGGACCTATAGACCTGACACTGTTTGATTAGCTAGATCTTCTAGAAGGATAAGGCTGTTGTTACCTGTGTATGTTATTAGACTTGATCCTCGGGTCGTAGGTGACTGGGTGGTACATGTGACGCGATACACAGGTGAATCAATACTGTGGCTGATAATTGTTTCAACGCTTGGTTGATCACGTGTTTCATACACCCAGAACCCACCTGCTGGGTACATATCCGGGGTAGGTGACGTCAGAGGTGAAGGTCATAGCGTCTTGTTTGTTGTGTGCTCTTTTACGGTCACGTTGGGTTGATTATTGTAGGGTCACGTTGGGTTGATTTTTGTAGGGTCACGTTGGGTTGATTTTTGTAGGGTCACGTTGGTTTGATTTTTGTAAGATCACGTTGGGTTAATTATTGTAGGATCACGTTGGGTTGGTTATTGTAGGGTCACGTTGGGTTGATTTTTGTAGGATCACGTTGGGTTGATTATTGTAGGATCACGTTAAAAGCGTTGTTGTAGGATCACGTTGGGTTGGTTATTGTAGGATCACGTTGGGTTGGTTATTGTACGGTCACGTTGGGTTGATTTTTGTAGGTTCACGTTGGGTTGATTTTTGTAGGATCACGTTGGGTTGATTATTGTAGGATCACGTTGGGTTGATTATTGTAGGATCACGTTAAAAGCGTTGTTGTAGGGTCACGTTGGGTTGATTTTTGTAGGATCACGTTGGGTTGATTATTGTAGGATCACGTTAAAAGCGTTGTTGTAGGATCACGTTGGGTTGGTTATTGTAGGGTCACGTTGGGTTGATTATTGTAGGGTTACGTTGGGTTGGTTATGGTAGGATCATGTTGGGGTGATTATTGTAGGGTCACGTTAGGTTGATTTTTGTAGAGTCACGTTAAACGTATAATTGTAGGATCACGTTGGGTTGATTATTGTAGGTTCACGTTGGGTTGATTATTGTAGGATCACGTTGGGTTGATTTTTGTAGGATCACGTTGGGTTGATTTTTGTAGGATCACGTTGGGTTGATTATTGTAGGATCACGTTAAAAGCGTTGTTGTAGGATCACGTTGGGTTGGTTATTGTAGGGTCACGTTGGGTTGATTATTGTAGGGTCACGTTGGGTTGATTTTTGTAGGTTCACGTTGGGTTGATTTTTGTAGGATCACGTTGGGTTGATTTTTGTAGGTTCACGTTGGGTTGATTATTGTAGGATCACGTTGTTTTGATTATTGTAGGATCACGTTAAAAGCGTTGTTGTAGGGTCACGTTGAGTATGCTAAACTGTGTACAACACAACAGTTGACTGTAAGATGTACGTCACTGCCGGGTACACAGATTGTGTATATAGTTCCAGCTGGTAGATTGTAATAGTCTACCACCCCCTCCCCCTGCTCATCATCGAAAACACAACCTTGCTGGTCTTAAGATGGCACGCATGTGTTGAATGTTAACAGTTCTATAGTGCTCACACGTTAGCGATCATCCCAAATCCTGCTGCACACATTAGAGAGATAAGCCTTTGATAGCGGGCACGTGAGATACAGCTGAGTACACAAAAATCAAATCAAACCACTAGGTGAGCACCCGTTGAAGTTTGATAACTTGACCACCTAGCTCGTAAACCCTGACTAGAACATGTGGTGTAGTTAAACTACATGTAGAATCAATCGTGTCGACATTAATTGTATCGGTATTGACTATTTTATCTTATAGGCAGATTTTTATCTTGGTGTAGAGTATTTATAAAATGGACTGTGTAGACACTAGTTGTATCTTTGTGTAGATTTCGTGTCGAGTATATCTGTCTTACTTTGATATGTATTTTAGTGTTCAATACGTGCATATCGATTTGTGTGTTACGCAAGACAACGGTATGTTATCAAACAATTTGTTAGTGGTGATGTCACTTATTAGTATTTGGTTTTTGCTGACTGTGCTCCTTGGTCTAACAGCGTGGCTAAAGTGTAGAGGAGTACATGCACATCTATTCTTTGTTGTTGGCCGCTATGGTAAATACACTCGAGCTTCCGCGTAGTTTTATTCTATGGACATGAAAATAGTATGGGAGTACGGGGTGAGGCAATGGGAGAGCTTTACGTACAAAGGTAGTAAAGAAAGCAGCGCTTCTTCCTCTGCGTTCTTCATTGAGTTTATGGTGGACTTAAACAAGTCCAACTTCGTGTATGTACTGGACTGTGGTCTCCAGAACTGCGGGTGCCCCATATAGTTTTTCCTTGAGTGGGGTAGATAGGGTCCAGTAAAGCAGCGCTGATCTCGTCGTTAACATACATAGTAACGCTGTCACGTTTTACTCAAACATTTACAGTCACGTTGTGATGAAACTGTCACAATCACGTTTTGTTGACAGTGACACAGTCAAGTTTTACTGACACAGTGACAGTGAGTCACGTTTTGCTAAAGGTTTGTAAAAAAAAAAAAAAACATATCGACCTCACTTTGACACGGTAGCCTTACAGTGTCCTTGATTAGCTGAATGAAGTACGTGACAATCTGGGCCCGTGTGTGTACGTTGGCTTGTTGTTTATATATCGCGCTAGTACACATTTGAGTGTGCTCTATGCATGTCTGGTACGTACACAATGCTATGTACATTCCTGTAAAGGTGTACTGTGATTTGTGAACACGTCTCCCGTACATATTTCAGCATGTTACGTACATGTTCGGTATCTGCGTATGTTCCTTCGGCATATTGCCGTGTTCGCTAAAATCTGTCATGTTAATTATACCTGTCTGGTTATTGATTGAAGGGGGGGGGGGGGGTAAGTCATGTGTCAAGGTCATAGAGTGATGTTGTAATCTGTTGAAGTCCTGGTGAACTTTGTATTGTGTGCTGCTCCCTCGTGACGTTATAAGCTTCCCGTCCCCGCCCTTAATCTCGGTCCCCTTGTTGGAGACTTGGATACTTCTGGGGCTGTGTTTGATGGGGGGGGGGGGGGGATTTCATGTAGAGGGCAAAAGTACTACGCGACCCTACAATACAAATAAGTACTGCCTTAGTAGAGATAGAACTGCGTTATCCTACGGTGTGTGGTGGAAATACTACGTTTTTGGATAGAAGCACTGCATTACTCTACTACAGTGTGGATAGAAGCACTGAATTACCACATAGTGTGAGACTGCAGACCCTCGCTAGCCTGCATGAAGTGTACACCGCTAGCCTGCATGAAGTGTACACCAGTTACCTGCATGAAGTGTACACCAGTTACCTGCATGAAGTGTACACCGCTAGCCTGCATGAAGTGTACACCGCTAGTCTGCAAGAAGTGTACACCGCTAGCCTGCATGAAGTGTACACCGATAGCCTGCATGACGTGTACACCGATAGCCTGCATGACGTGTACACCGCTAGCCTGCATGAAGTGTACACCGCTAGCCTGCATGAAGTGTACACCGCTAGCCTGCATGAAGTGTACACCGCTAGCCTGCATGAAGTGTACACCGCTAGTCTGCATGAAGTGTACACCGCTAGCCTGCATGAAGTGTACACCGCTAGCCTGCATGAAGTGTACACCGATAGCCTGCATGACGTGTACACCGCTAGCCTGCATGAAGTGTACACCGCTAGCCTGCATGAAGTGTACACCGCTAGCCTGCATGAAGTGTACACCGCTAGCCTGCATGAAGTGTACACCGCTAGCCTGCATGAAGTGTACACCGCTAGCCTGCATGAAGTGTACACCGATAGCCTGCATGACGTGTACACCGCTAGCCTGCATGAAGTGTACACCGCTAGCCTGCATGAAGTGTACACCGCTAGCCTGCATGAAGTGTACACCGCTAGCCTGCATGAAGTGTACACCGCTGGCCTGCATGAAGTGTACACCGCTAGCCTACATGAAGTATACACCGCTAGCCTGCATGAAGTGTACACCGCTAGCCTGCTTGAAGTGTACACCGCTAGCCTGCTTGAAGTGTACACCGCTAGCCTGCTTGAAGTGTACACCGCTAGCCTGCATGAAGTGTACACCAGTTACCTGACTCAGCCAACCCATTTCCCTCAAGACGTGGCCTGCAGGTAGACACCGTGACTCATCCAGGCCTTACCTTGACTTGCATGCTCCACTTCCTTCCAGCGGTTCTCGCAGACTTGGCACCCTCCCAGCCTTTACAACTAGGGCTGGTTCTGCTCTATAGTATACAAATGTATCCACAAACGTATGCCCCGAACCTGGGATCAGATAGTCTATAGAAAAACTAAAAGGCTGTAATTCATAGCTTTAAATACTGTGATTTAAGTATTTGTAACGTTTTTCAAATTAATGCTGCGATAATACATCGGTAGTATCTTGGAAAGATTTTGTGACTTGACTGCTACTGTAAATATACTTTACAGCAGAGATTCTCTTGGGCATCTCTTCTGGTGTGTCATGGGGGGGGGTGTCACTGCCACAGAGCACATCCACCGCCCCACCCTCACCGATCCGACGAAATAGAAAAAAAATATTTTTTTATAAAATTAGATTTTTATTCGCACATCCCCAGACTAATGCTCCTCCCGACGGGGGGGAGGGGGAGAAAAAAA